CCCCAGGCTCCCCCAAGTCAGCTGCGGCTGAAACGGATCAGCGGCTGATGCCAGGAAGCCTGGGGCAGAGCAACGAGGGAGACAGAGAGCAAAGCCACTGAGCATGCCCGCGGCTTTGCTCCTGTCCCCCAGCAGACCAGGAGGACAGGAGCAAAGCCGCGGGCATGCTCAGTGGCTTTGCTCTCTGTCTCCCTCGTTGCTCTGCCCCAGGCTTCCTGGCATCAGCCGCTGATCAGTTTCAGCCGCAGCTGACTTGGGGACGCCTGGGTTTCTTAAGTTGAATCTGTATGTAAGTCAGAACTGGCATCCAGATTCAGCCGCGGTTGAAACTGATCAGTTTCAACCGCGGCTGAATCTGGATGCCAGTTCTGACTTACATACAGATTCAACTTAAGAAACCCAGGCGTCCCCAAGTCAGCTGCGGCTGAAACTGATCAGCGGCTGATGCCAGGAAGCCTGGGGCAGAGCAACGAGGGAGACAGAGAGCAAAGCCACTGAGCATGCCCGCGGCTTTGCTCCTGTCCCCCAGCAGACCAGGGAGACCAGGAGAAGCTTTTCTCGCCCCGGAGGACATGGGTGGCGCCCCGCCGCCCGTGAGCTCCGGGGCGAGAAAAGCCCCGTTCGTAAGTGTGGATCCGACATAAGTCAGATCCACGTAAGTCGGGGACTGCCTGTACTCCAGTTGAGGCCTAACCAGCGCAGAGTAGAGCGGAAGAATGACTTCTCATGTCTTGCTCACAACACACCTGTTAATGCATCCCAGAATCATGTTTGCTTTCTTTGCAATAGTATCAAACTGCTGACTCATATTCAACTTGTGGTCCACTAGGACCCCTAGGTCCCTTTCTGCAGTACTCCTTCCTAGACAGTTGCTTCCCATTCTGAATGTGTGAAACTGATTGTTCCTTCCTAAGTGGAGCACTTTGCATTTGTCTTTATTAAACTTCATCCTGTTTACCTCAGACCATTTCTCCAATTTTCCAGATCATTTTGAATTTTGACCCTATGCTCCAAAGCAGTCACAACCCCTCCCAGCTTGGTGTCATCTACAAACTTAATAAGCGTACTTTCTATGTCAATATCTAAATTGTTGATGAAGATATTGAACAGAGCCGGTCCCAAAACAGACCCCTGCAGAACCCCACTTGTTACGCGCACCAAGGCATGTGCAGATGTGCACCACCAGTAGAAACTCATGCTGATGGCTGGAAGAAGGGCTCTGTTAATCCGCTGGGTGGCGCTTGAATCTCTCCGACAGGGGTGGTGGATATAATAGGCAGGGGAAGGTATTGCCTTCCCAAACCACCAGCGTGGCCCCACCCAGATTCCGGCTCCAGAATGTCTAATGTAGGTGTACTTGGGTGGAGAGTTGCTGCCTCCGAGTGCCCACCCTCCCTGTGCCCTGTGGCCAGGGAAGCTGGGGCCGTGTGCTCCCTCATCTCCCCGTGGTGCTCCTGGTGGGGGTGTACCTTTGCACCCGGGGCGGGAGGAGGGGAGCAGAGCCTGAGCAAAAGGGGCGGGACTGGGGGCAGGGCTTCCCCCAGCCCTACCTTCACCCACTGCCCTGGTGGCCACCCAAGTGCTCGACTTACAGGGAACAGTGGCCCCAGCAATTTCATGTTTTCTTATTATAGTACTCTGATGCGTGAAAGATTCCCACATCTATTCATGAGACAGTCCACAATGCAATGAGCCACTGGAGTGCCCATGAGGAGCTTCTTGTTTTGCTTTTATTGTTGATGAAATAAAGGAAAACCAGTACAAAGGGGTATAAAAGCAAAACTACTACATAGACACGGTCTCCTCTACACAGAGGGAATTCCACATCTCTGAATCACCCCGGTTCCATGCAGAAAGGAGTGGGTGGTCCTCAGCCACATGGCCCCACTGTCTTCCAACCCTGCAGATGCACCTCCATGCAGCCCAGGGTCCATGCCAGGGGAGGAACTCGACACTGGGCAGGAGGTTAAACCCTGCTCTAGACCCACATGTTAAGACATTACAGCCCCCATGTTTGTTCCTTAACCAGGCTCCTGGGGCAGCTGCCACCAGGGGGAAGCCCTGCCAGCAGTGTCACATTAGTTCTGTGCTGCCAGGAAGAAAGGCTTCCAGACCATACAGTCGGCAGGGAATCACTGGCATTTGGGCCTTCCCGCCTACAGCACTGACCTCTCTCTTTCCCCCAGCACCTGCATGGGTCCTAGGGGGATGGACAGAGTTTTCTACAGGTGCATGTGTACGGAGGGGGGGAGGGGGAGGGATGTCATCACAT